CCACAATGCCTGGCTATTTTTTGGTTGCAGCCGTCATTGTTGTTTGGCGGGTCCGGGCTGGGGATTCGAACCCGCCGCCTTAGGTGTACATGGCTGACGCCTTAGCCGGTTGAGCTATAGGCGCCGAGCCAGGAATAGCTCTTAATTCCACCGATGTGCGGGTCTGCCATCTTGATTCCCCATCCCACAGTCCCTGAGTCTCTGCTGTCTTTACTTTCTTTCTGAAAAGCCTGACAGGGTTCTTCTGCCTTATGTATGGTGACTGGATGGTTTGGCATGGGCTGTCAGCCTTGTGTGCAATTTGATGTCCACTGATTACTGTTCTGGAATACAGCATCATTTGGGGACACAGTTGTGGTTTACCTTGGCTTCTTAATTTTCCCCCAGGGACCTGCTACTGAGATGGGTTGTAGGGAAGAGGAGGAAGGGTTTGCCCCAGTCCTGTGATGTTTCTGGGTTTCCCCCAACAGGAAAGCTTCCAGCTATGAGGTGGTCTAGAGGGTAGAGGAGAATAGAGGATGCCCCTGACTTTACTCAGATTTTTGGTTACAACTTCTAGGACTATAGTCCTGCCTGTCCTCCAGGTTGGTATAACAAAATGACAGGAAGACCCCAAGATTCTTAATTTCAGGGAATCATCAGCATCTCAGGTTGCTATAAATAGTAAACATTAAACCTAGAAAATCACCATATTACAGATGAGAAAAATGAATTTGCTCAAGACCACATAGCTAGGACCAAAACCCAGCACCTAAGTCTCTGCTCCCTGCTCCTTTTGCCACACCATGAAAACTCACTCACCTCTCTTCCCATAGTTGCCCCGACTTGATGTCCTCTACCTTCCCCTCACTTAGGATGCTCCGGACCTTATATGACTATTTCTGGTGGGAACGGCTATGGCTGCCTGTGAACTTAACCTGGGCTGACCTAGAAGACCGAGATGGACGTGTCTATGCCAAAGCCTCAGACCTTTATATCACACTGCCCCTGGCCTTGCTTTTCCTCATCATCCGATACTTCTTTGAGCTGTAAGCATACTGACCTACCCGCAGGCCATTCCTGGCTGCCGGTTACATGACTTCTTAGACTTTAAGTGTGCCTCTTGTTGTTTAGTCCTGGACCCTGGCATTCTGGCTGACCAAGTCCCTGCCCACTGTGCACCCCCCTCCCCTGAGGGAACCATTGTCTTCCTGAGGGCTCAGCACCCTCAGGCCCTGTCCTTCAATGGTTATTTGTTCTTACCCTTACCCGTCACCCTGCCTGGCCACTAGTGAACACACAGGCAGCTTTGTCAGCTGTGAGCAGCCCAGGAGAATAAAGGGGGTTGCCAGGAAACAAGGGAAACTGAGGCCCAGAAGAAAGTTCCCTGAGCTTGCAGTTTGCTCCAAGAAAGCCAGCCTCTTCTCACTCAAATCCCTTCCTCAGTTATGTCGCTACACCACTGGCTGCCCTCCTGAACGTAAAGGAGAAAACTCGGCTGCGGGCACCTCCCAACGCCACCTTGGAACATTTCTACCTGACCAGCGGCAAACAGCCGAAGCAGGTATGAGCTGCTCTGGTGGGGAGGGGACGAGCCTGAACGTGAGCTCTTGGAGGAAAGCAGAGGTCCTGACCTGGGTCATTGCTGGGAAAGGGTGGGAGAGTTGGGGGCGGGGGGCACTGGAGTTCTGAAGCTAAACCTAACTGTGTCTTCACTGTACCTAGGTAGAGGTAGAACTTTTGTCTCGGCAGAGTGGCCTCTCTGGCCGCCAAGTAGAGCGCTGGTTCCGCCGCCGGCGCAACCAAGATCGGCCCAGTCTCCTCAAGAAGTTCCGAGAAGCCAGGTGGGGGACGTGGGGCAACAGCTGGGAGGCAGGTCTGCTGTGTTCTGCTGGGAGGGGTGGGCCATGGCTGTGTGCAGGAAGATGTGAATTCAGAAATTAATGGGATCTTGAGAGGCTATCTGTGGGCACTTGGGGGCTCCTGGAGGGCTCTGCCCTCTCCTTACCTAATAGCCATTTCTGCTTCCTCTTCTAGCTGGAGATTCACATTTTACCTGATTGCCTTCATTGCTGGCATGGCTGTCATTGTGGACGTGAGTGGGCATTGCTGGGAGGTGGGAGTAGGTTCTCCAGCAAGGGAGAGGAGAGGCTATAGAATTTGGTCTCTCCTCGTTTACCTTCTCACCATCTCTGCAGAAACCCTGGTTTTACGACATGAAGAAAGTCTGGGAGGGATATCCCGTACAGGTATGAGATGACTCCCACTTCCTTACATGGGGGTGGCTAAGACATACATACATTTATGAAGAGATGGTTTCTGGAACACATGGCAAGTGGCCTGGAGTTATGGAACTAGGAATAACCTCAGGGGCTAGAAGGGTGGCTTTGGGGTGGTGAGACCCTTGGATCTGGCTGCTCTTACCTCTCTCCTCTTGCAGAGCACTGTCCCTTCCCAGTATTGGTACTACATGATTGAACTTTCTTTCTACTGGTCCCTGCTCTTCAGCATTGCCTCTGATGTCAAGCGGAAGGTGGGTGAAAGGGCTGGGCAGTTAGGCCTAAGAGCCAAAGCGAGACCCTAGGATGAATAGCCTCATCTTAGACTTCTGGGTGCTTTGGGTGCAGTTATTGGGATATGGGGGACTAAAAGGAAGGAGGAAGAATAGTGGGGGCTCAGGGATAGGAAAAAGTCCCTTGGAGCTACATCTCTTCTGCAGGATTTCAAGGAACAAATCATCCACCATGTGGCCACCATCATCCTCATCAGCTTCTCCTGGTTTGCCAATTACATCCGAGCAGGAACTCTTATCATGGCTCTGCATGACTCTTCTGACTACTTGCTAGAGGTTAGGCTGCCTCAAACCTAGAGACCCAAATGCAGGTTGTTCTGTGCCTTTGTGATTCTGAGAGGGCAGGGGTTGGGGGAGCACAGAGCCAGGGCTGCTAACTGGGGTATACATATGAATGTGCCGGGAGAGTCAGGAGCCCGTGATGATGGCTAAGGGCTATCTGTGCAGTCAGCCAAGATGTTTAACTACGCGGGATGGAAAAACACCTGCAACAACATCTTCATTGTTTTCGCCATTGTCTTCATCATTACCCGACTGGTCATCCTGCCCTTCTGGTGAGTAGGCAGCCAGGCCACACTCTGGTTCTGAAGGTATGAGGAATTTTGCCTTTCTCTCTTCTTTCATTCCTTGTCTTGACTCCTTCTCATCCATTTAGGATTCTGTGTCCCCCTTCAATCCTTAGGATCCTGCATTGCACTCTGGTGTACCCACTGGAGCTCTACCCTGCCTTCTTTGGCTACTACTTCTTCAACTCTATGATGGGAGTGCTACAGCTGCTGCATATCTTCTGGGCCTACCTCATTTTGCGCATGGCCCACAAGTTCATAACTGGAAAGGTGAAGGCTCCATCCTCATTCTGTAGGCCTGTAATAACTGTAATAATTCTCAACTCCAGAACTCTCCAAAACCCCTGTCATGTAGCCACCTGCTAGAAAAACCAGTGCGGGTCCTTGGGTATAGTGCCTCAGAACAAACTGAGAGAGGCAGTCCTTAGGCGTGTGAGGATGTCATATAACCTTTCTTATCCCTTTTCCACAGCTGGTAGAAGATGAACGCAGTGACCGGGAAGAAACAGAAAGCTCAGAGGGGGAGGAGGCTGCAACTGGGGGAGGAGCAAAGAACCGGCCTCTTGCCAATGGCCATCCCATCCTTAATAACAACCACCGTAAAAATGACTGAACCTGCTTGTCCCAGATGCCTTCCAGATTAGTGCATAAAGTCAAGGAACTACTACACTCTCCCTACAGGGTCACTTCAAGCTCTGGGGAGAACTTCAAGCTCTGGGGAGAAAGAAGAGAGAAGAGAGTTCTTTGTGCCCTCCCTCCTTGCTTCTGTGTCACCCAGTTGCCTTTAAACCAAATTCTAACCAGCCTATTTACCCCCAGGTAGAGGGGAGGTTGGTTATATCCTTTGTCAGTGGGGGGATAGTCTTATTTTCCTCTCTATCCTCCCAAGTTATCCTTTCTATTGCTTTTGAGACCCTTCCTCAGCTCCGGGGGTTGGGGTTACAACTCACATTCCTTATTCTTATAATTTGGCCCTAGCTGTCTGCCTTTGACTCCCTGACCTCCAGAGGCAGGGTTGTGCCTTATTGCCCCACCTGAGGGCTTCGTCATTCTGCCAAAGCTGGACCAAGGCTCACCTTTCTAAGCTCCCTAACTCAGGTCAGAAGCCAAAGCTGAGCTGATTTTTAACTTCTTCCCTTTTAGACACAAAAGAATTGAGTGTAGGAGGGTGTACGTGACCCTTACCCTACCTCTGCTAAAAGTGGGGGCTGTACTGGGGACTACTCAGATGATCTTTGTGTTATTTCTCTGCCAGCTGTCTCTGTAACCACAGGTCTGAGATCTGACTGCCTCCTTTCTCTGGCCTCTTCCACTAGGCTAGCTGGTTTGGAGTAGAATGGCAACTAATTCTAATTTTTATTTATTAAATGTATGGGGTTTTGGTTTTAAACTTTAAGCCAGAACTACAGCTAGCACCTAGCATTTCAGCAGAGGGACCATTTCAGACCACAATGTACTGTTAATGTTTTTTTTTTTAACTAAAATATATTAAAGATTAAATAAAATGTGGCAATAAATGTCAAGGCTATTAGGAATTGAAAAGGGGGGGATCAACTAAATAAACTACAATAATCTTTCTTATGCCTTCCTTGCAGTTATGTAACATTTTCCTTTTTAAACTTCATGGCAAGTGAGAAAATGCAAAGCTAGAGAAAGTAGAAACTTAATGACAGCAGTCTTCACTGTGGAGGACTGTGGCCAGGGGCATCTCAACTGGGAGATCCAGAACTGGGAGTAAAGGGCTGAGGGAGAGAAATAAATTGCAGTCTTAGTTTTACCATCTTGTTAAGACTTTCAAGAAATAATACAAACCAAGGGTGGTAGGTACATAGCCTCCATTCCAGGAATGACATCTGTAAGAAGCATGAACACTTGAACAAGCATGGGATGGGTGGAATGAGTGGCAGAAGACTGAGGGACAACATGCCTAGGTTACAGTGACAATCTCTCCCCACCTGAGAAGGTGGAGAAGGGATCCTGCCAGCTAGCACCACAAAGAAAGGGATCTCTGGATCCAGTGCCCCCATTTCTATGTACTAGGAGCTAGGGGGAGTAGCTAGACCAGAGACTTGGGGTCAGAGTTCAACAGTCAGGAGGACCTAGATCCTGAGGTCAAGAAAGGTTCTGAAGGTCAGGAAGCCATCCTCTAAAGAAGACGCCCTCTGCATTCAATGGCTCCACAGCAGCAAAGCAGTTCCTTGCCTTCCACACTGCCCACCTCGTAGTTGTAGTCCCAAGTAAGTTCCGTCCCAGCCCGGATTCTCCTGAAAAGGAAGAAAAGGATGGGTGTGGTGAAGATAACAGATAACTAGGCACCTGGGGTTACAGAATATGTAGGTGGAACTGGATCATGCATGGAGGGAAGTCCCTTAAAATTTTAGTGTCTTTGCCCTCCCCCATCATCTGCTACCCTGACTACTCCTTACTTGCTGGCAAAGAAAGCTACCCAGGGGAAGCGAAGATCATGGGTATCCACAAAGACATTCTGGACAAACAGGTTGGGGCTGCAACTGTGCTGTAGGTTTAAGAACAGTATCAAATAAAAACCAGGGAAAGACAATCTGGCTTTGTCAGGTGAGTGAGTAGGAAGGAAAATGATGCCATCTGACCTTCCCCCCACTCTGCATTACATCTGAGATGTTTTGAAGGAAATTACTTCTTTAAGATCCTTTGAGATCAAACATCTATAACCAAAAAAGGCAGGTTTTCAGAGTATTAAAGAAATCTGAGGACCCTGGCATAACCCAGTAACCAGAAGTACAGGGAAGGGTCTCACGTTGAGGTAGCGGCCCAGGTTGCCTTCAAGCTTGGCGTCGATGATGTAGCAAGACTCCTCACCATCGTAGAACTGGCGTGTGTTCTTACGAACAGGTGCACTTTCCCCCTTCTCAACAGAGGCCATGTTGGTTGATTTAATGGCAATCCCATGGGTTGATTTAAGAGCAAAGCCTCGGGTTGATTTTACTGCCACTTGGCGCTTCATTGGACCTACAGAGGAAAGAGAACGGGGTCAGGGTCTATGCCACTCACAACTGCACAGTCTACCCCCATTTTTTTTATTTTTTTGAGACAGAGCCTCAAGCTATTGCCCTGGGTAGAGTGCCGTAGCATCACAGCTCACAGCAACCTCCAACTCCTGGGCTCAAGCAATTCTCCCGCCTTTGCCTCCCAAGTAGCTGGGACTACAAGTGCCCACACAATGCCTGGCTATTTTTTTTTTTTTTTTTTTTTTGGTTGCAGCTGTCATTGTTTGGTGGGCACAGGCTGGATTTGAACCTGCCAGCTCAGGTGTATGTGGCTGGCACTTCAGCCGCTTGAACCACAGGCACCGAGCCTCTACCCCCATTTTTTTCTCCCACACCTTGTAGCTCAGAAATACCAGTAAGCTGCAACTCAGGAAAGATCCTAACTGGCAGTTTTTTCTTGTTCTGTTTTTGTTTTTAGAGACAGGGTCTCACTTTATTGCCCTCAGGAGAGTGCCATGGCGTCACAGCTCACAGCAACCTCCAACTCTTAGGCTTAAGCGATTCTCTTGCCTCAGCCTACAGGCCCCCATGACAACACCCGGCTATTTTTTTGTTGGAGTTGCATAGCTGGCCCATGTTGGGTTCAAAACTGTCACCCTCAGTGTATGTGGCTGGCGCTGTAACCACTGTGCTACGGGTGCTGAGCCATGGCAGTTTTTTTCAAGCAGAATTAGATCAGCTGGACAAAGGAGCTTAGGGAAAAGAGGAGGGAGTCAGAAGAGAGAAAAGGTATGCGTCAAACAATATTAACAGTATAACACAGAGCCAGGAAGCTTTCTCAAGAGATGCTTCAACTCTTAGGATCTGAATTTTTCTCTCCTACTTCTTTATAAAGTGCTCTACCTAACTTTCCTACTGTTTCTTCCTACCACTCCCCCAATTTTTCAAGACTACCAGACATATTCTTCTTGTCCTCAAAGTCATCCCCTTCAGAGCCAGAGGAGATAGTCTGGATATCATCACTGTCAACCGCTGTTGCTGAAGTCTGACCAGCAGTGGGCTTTCGGCTTGTGCCACTTTCCCCCTCACTTTCTGTGCTGCTGGACAGTGTCAGGACATCCTGGGGAAGCAGAAGGGCAAGAAGAAGGAAGAAGAGTAAATGGAAATGGTCCCTTCAAGTCCTTGCTCTTACCTATGGTTTTGTAAGAAAGGACTGAGACTGTAGCAAGAGGAGGATTAGATGTTGGATAACAGAAGATGAGGCAGGGTATAAAGGCCAAAGAAACAGGAAAAGACCTAACAGTAATTACAGTCAAGGACTTGACAAAAGTAAAAATGTTCCATGTTTCTTTTTTTTTTTTTT